TCCCCTTTCCCCACAATATTATCTTTAACTTTTTTGTTCATTAAAAAACGTTTTTGAGCAATCTAAAACTTACAGAAAAGTTGAATGTACAGTAGAAATAACTTGCTTTCTAGAACCATTCACAGTAGGTTGCTGACATGATAGTCTATGATGTCCATGTTTGTATTTCCCACAAATAAGAACTTTCTCCAACATAACCACAATACAGCTATCAAAATCAGAAAATGAACAATGCTGCATTATTACCGTCTCATCCTCAGATTCCATTCAGGTTTTTCCATTGTCCCAGTAATGTCCTTTATAACAAAAAGATTCAGTCCAGACTCACACATTGTATTTAATTGGCATGATTCTCTGTTTTTTTCCAATCGGGAACAGTCCCTCAGTCTTTTCATGAGTTTCACGACCTTGATGTTTTTGAAGATTCCAAGCCAGTTATTTTGTAGAATGTCTTTCAAGTGTGGTTGGTTCGTCTGATGTTTCCTTAGGACTAGATTCAGTTTATGTGTATTTGTTGTGTCCGTGGTGCATCCTGTTGGTAGCCCGTGATCTCACCATTACTGTTGGTAGTTACCTTAATTGCTTGAATAAGGTTTGTTTCCCAAGTTTCTCCACTATTACATTAATCTTTTTTTTTCATTTATTTTTATTAGTTGAAGGCTAATTACTTTACAGTATTGTAGTGGTTTTTGCCATACATTGACATGAATCAGCCATGGATTTACATGTGTTCCCCATCCCGATCCCCCCTCCCACCTCCCTCCCCATCCGATCCCTCTGGGTCTTCCCAGTGCACCAGCCCTGAGCACTTGACTCATGTATCCAACCTGGGCTTTGGGACTCTGTGGGAGAAGGCGAGGGTGGGATGTGCTGAGAGAATAGCATTGAAACAAGTATACTATCAAGGGTGAAACAGATCACCAGCCCAGGTTGGATATATATTAATCTTTTTACTTTCCTATTTAATAAGCATTTGTGGGAAGGCCTTCAAAATTATATAAAGCTTCTGTGTTAATCTTTATGTTTTTTTCATTTATTTGTTTACATCTGTGTGGACACATGGATTCCTGTTTTGTTTACTGGTTTATATTCCCTTACTACTGTTATTTGTATTGATGCTCCAATCATTCCAGATTGGGTAGTAGGAGCCCCTTCAAGCTGGCTACTTTGTTGTTTTGTCATGGCCCCTCATTCTTTGAATATTTGGTTACTTTTTGTCACAACATGATGTTCCAGGTTCATTTGGTACTTGGTTTACCCCACCCCAGCCATTTCTCCACAGAGCCCTGGTTCCTTTTAGTAGCGAATGGCATTAGAACCCAAGAGCTGGGTGTTAGGTGTGCATATTAAGACTTTGCCGGTCCCCAGGACCTCTTAGGGGACAGAGCTAGAAAATAGTTGTATTTTCTGTAAGTATAGACGTTTACATGCATCTGTCTGTCTATTGAATTCCATGAGTTCACATCAATAGCTGAAATTTCAGTCCAAACCAGAGGGTTCATTCTTTTTTTCTGCCTTTCTATATTTGTAACTTCCTTTTTAAACTATTATCTTTAGTAGTTTTGCTTACTAATATTTGGCCCATTTCTCTGTATTTACCCAGTCTTGCATAGCTATTGCTGCATTCCCCCTGCTACCTCTCTTCCCCTACTCAATTAGAAACTCTTTCATCCTAATCTGGCTTTGGCCCACTGTATTGGGATGCCTGCCTCCTAGGTCTGTGTCCTTAATTGGCTTGGTCTCCAACACTCTGTGCCTCCAGGCCCCAACCATTGCCCGTCACTCAGCATCGACACTATGCCACTCTGCCCTTGTGAGGATTACCTCCTGACCCCGCCGGACCTCTGATATCCTTGCTGTGCTGCTGCCCTCGTACAAGGACATGGTCCTCCCTCACCTGCTTTGGGCTCTGACACCAGCTCTTGGCTATCATGACCAGTCCCCTTCTTAATGGCTTTTGGACTGAATTGTTTGTGAAGGGGCTTCATGTTGTCTTTTGAGAGAGAAGTTTTTGTACATCTGTTAGAATTCAAAGTTAGTATTTTATTTTTTTCTAATTTAGAACTATTTTACTTGAAGAGATTTTCTTCTGTAGTTCTAGTTGTAAACACAGAACAAATGCTGTTTGAGTGCTTCAGAGGCATCATTGTATTTAAATGAATCATGTGATATGTTTACATCTTCAGCCACACCTGAAATCAAAGACTCAATACAATGTTTTTCCCAAAGAAAGTATCAGTCATAACAAAACATAACTACTCATAATCAGTAGATTATCATTTTTCCTAATATGACCACTAAATATGAAAACATTGTGAAGATACCTAAAGAGCTGCTATTTTTTTTTTATTTAGAGAAAATGGCACCATAGTTCAAAATACCTTTTCCTTTTCTTTACTAGTAAAAATCTGTGACATCCATTCGACAAAATACCATCCAGCCCTACCAAAGTTATTTCAGCATCATTTGCAAATCAAAATTGACCATTGTTTACACTTACTCTGTATCCTGTAGGGAAAGGGTAAAATAGTATATCAAGTGCAGAAGTCAGCCTGTGTCAATTGGTGTGTGTTTTACATTGTGGTAACACCAGAAATTGAAAAATAAGTACTCTTATGTGAATGAAACATACCCTTGATAATTATCACAAAGGCAAAATCAACTGACTTTCAGTCAGGACTAGTGTCTCATGTCCAGTTCAGTTCAGTCACTCACTTGTGTCCGACTCTTTGTGACCCCATGGACTGCAGCATGTCAGGCCTCCCTGTCCATCACCAACTCCCAGAAGTTACTCAAATTCATGTCCACTGAATTGGTGATGCCGTCCAACCATCTCATCCTCTGTCGTCCCCTTCTCCTCCTGCCTTCAATCTTTCCCAGCATCAGGATCTTTTCAAATGAGTCAGTTCTTCGCATCAGGTGGCCACAGGATTGAAGTTTCTGCTTCAGCATCAGTCCTTCCAGTGAACACCCAGGACTGATTTCCTTTAGGATGGACTGGTTGGATCTCCTTGAAGTCCAAGGGACTCTCAAGAGTCTTCTTCAACACCACAGTTCAAAAGCATCAGTTCTTCAGTGCTCAGCTTTCTTTATAGTCCAACTCTCACATCCATATGTAACTACTGGAAAAACCATAGCTTTGACTAGATGGACCTTTGTTGACAAAGTAATGTCTCTGCTTTTTAATATGCTATCTAGGTTGGTCATAACTTTTCTTCCAAGGAGCAAGTGTCTTTTAATTTCATGGCTGCAGTCACCATCTGCAGTGATTTTGGAGCCCCCAAAAGTAAAGTCTGTCACTGTTTCTACTGTTTTCCCATCTATTTCCCATGAAGTGATGGTACCAGATGCTGTGATCTTAGTTTTCTGAATGTTGAGTTTAAGCCAACTTTTTCACTCTCCTCTTTCACTTTCATCAAGAGGCTCTTTAGTCCTTCTTCGCTTTCTGCCATAAGGGTGGTATCATCTGTATATCTGAGGTTATTGATATTTCTCCCAGCAATCTTGATTCCAGCTTGTGCTTCTTCCAGCCCAGAGTTTCTCATGATGTACTCTGCATATAAGTTAAATAAGCAGGGTGACGATATACAGCCTTGACGTACTCCTTTTCCTATTTGGAACCAGTGTGTTGTTCCATGTCCAGTTCTAACTGTTCCTTCCTGACCTGCATACAGGTTTATCAAGATGCAGGTCAGGTGGTCTGGTATTCCCATCTCTTGAAGAATTTTCCACAGGTTATTGTGATCCACACAGCCAAAGGCTTTGGCATAGTCAATAAAGTAGGAGTAGATGTTTTTCTGGAACTATTTGTCTTTTTTGATGATCCAGCAGATGTTGGCAATTTGATCTCTGGTTCCTCTGTCTTTTCTAGATCCAACTTGAACATCTGGAAGTTCACGGTTCACACACATAGGCATAAAGACACACTTGAATAGCTTGCTAAATACCTGCTTCCCTGGCCTTGCCACTCCTTTTCCTGTTGACCAAGCTGCTGAGCCCTCAGCTACACAGGCTGTGGTGCCTAGCCAGGGTTCTTAAATAAAACACTGAAAAATGAAGCACAGAGAACACTGTGGAAAGTAGTGAGAAGGAGCAAACTGAAATACAAAAGCCATGGGATGTAATGTTCAAATTTAGAGATGAGATGGCTCATGATGGTTATTGGTAAATCATGAAATAGGGGACAGATTGGCCAGGACTGAAGAAACAAGAGGGCCAGGGAGCCCCATTGTGCCTGACAAAGGTGGGCATCCTCCAGATGGAGAGTCTTAATTACATCTGTTACAGTGAACATCTTCACAACGCTGTGAGCTCTTCAAGGCCAGGTGCATGGCCTTCTTACTTCTGTATCCCCACTATTTAACACATTCTTGCATATGGTAGATTTTTAATACATATTTTTGGGGACCAGTAAACTGAGCTGAACCAGCTCACTGCTTTCAGAGCCATTTCGGTGATGTCTGCTCATGCAGTTCATTCAGTCCTCTACCTAAGGCAAGGGTGACAGGCTTCATCTCACTCTGATGCACTGATAATGGGTACCTGGAAGCATTAATGATACAGATTTTGAGGGGACTCCCCTGGCAGCCCAGTTGTTAAGATTCCATGTTTCTACTGTAGGGAGCATGGGTTCAATCGATGGCACAGAAGAAAGGAGTGCCACTCATTCACAATGCCACCTTGAAAGAAGGGTGGCACAGATGTTCTCTATTACCCACCCTGGTCTAGAAGAAAGGCATCCAACAAAAAGTTAGTATTTTATAAGAAGGAAAAAAATGCAGATAGCTTGAATATTTCATTTTTTCAGGCACTTATTGGTAAGAGTTCTAGAAGGATTCTTTCATTGGCTAATGTTTAACATGTAACATAAAAATAATCCTTATTTTGATTTATAATTATCCGGGATCTTAATGTACATTGGTTAATGAACTGTATTTCAGGAAATTAGAAAGCAAATAATAATTTACATTACAAAATAATAATATAAATTTCTCTTCTAGCTCTTCCACCAAAGCCACCTAAGCCAATGACTTCAGCCATTACAAATGGAATAAAGGACAGTTCTGTTTCTCTTCAGGATGCAGAATGGTACTGGGGGGATATTTCAAGGTAATTAGACTAAGTGTTATAGTTGAATGGAGTTTAAAAAATAATTCTTGAGATTAGTAGTTTAAAAGAATATTTTTAATGCCCCACAAGTTGTCATTTAAATATTACCATTTAAAAAACTGTGTAGGAGAACCTTTAAAATTTTCTAAATGGTTTTCTTCCCACAGACAAAAAAGACAAGATGATCTTTAAATTGTAGGTATGGTTATTACTTCTAATACTGTGTTGAGGATAGGGTTTTGAATAAGTGAAACTTATACATTTAGTATAGATGTGTGTGTTTTGGGATAAAATATTTATCTATGTTTAATTTTCCTTACGTTTCTGTTTCTAAGGTAATGGTTCCTCAGTGTTTACACACATAAAAATCAATGGAGTAGGGTTTAGGAATCTGCATTTATAACCTCCCCAGTTGATTTTTATGTTTCTTCACCTCCTTTTGAGAAACAGGACTCTAGGACAGATTTGCTTTTTGGGTAAAATGTGGTTTTGGAAAACTCTGAATGTAGAGGAAAAAAAAGATAAATCTATATTTTATAGATAAATATATATTTTTAAATTCAAACATTGTATTTTCTTGTTTTTTAAAAGTTATACCCACTTTTGCCAAATCAGATTTCAGGTTGCTTCTGTCTTCCTCAATACGCTTGTCCTCTTGTCTGTCCTTTCCCATTATCAAAGCAGCACTCATTTATTTTTTTTCCATATTATTTTAACCATCTAAAGATGTACAGCTCAGTGGCATAAAGTACATTCACATTATTGTTCATCCGTTACCACCCTCCATCTCTGAAAGTGTCATCTTCCCAAAGTGAAGCTCTGTACCCATTAAACACTAACTCACTTTTCCTTCTGTTTTCCCCAGCACCTGCCTTCTCTTTCTGTGAATTTGACTTTTCTAGGTACCTCATATAAGTGGAATCATATAACATTTGTTCTTTGTGTTTGACTTGTTTCACTTAGCACAATGTCTTCAAGGTTAATACATGTTGTAGCATGTGTCAGAATTTCGTTTTTAAGGCTGAATAATATTCCATTATATATACATACCACATTTTAATTTATTCATTCTTATGGACATTTGGCTTTGATGAATACTTGGGTTATTTCCAGCTTTTGGCTATTGTGAATAATGCTGCTATGAACAGTGGTATATAAATGTTCAAGATTCTGCTTTCAGTTCTTTGGGCATATACCCAGAAGTGGAATTTCTGGGTCATACAGTAATTCTGTATTTAATTTTTTGAAGAAGACTTAATATCTTTGATATTAAACATAAAATTTAAATTTTAGCAATGTACAAAAAAGGATCTATTATATTTACATACTACTTAATTTATATTTTAAGACCATGTGGTTCTATAACTCAGGGTTCTTTTATGTCCTGCCATTTTCTTTGAGTCTTCTAGTGTTGTTCCTTAAAGTCCTAAACCATCTCTGCAGAAGGAATTTGTTGTCAGTATAAATTCAAATTGTAGAATATTATTGAAAGGTTGTGAACTGAGTACATTATCCCCACTCTGATCTGACCCAGCTGCCACTGTTGCTTAAACTTAATCTTCTTTCTAAACAGCTGCTGTTTTTTTCTGACACTCTACAAGTTCATACCTGCCTAAGGAAGCCCTAAAGGCTTAATGGAAACAGGTATTCCCTACAGACAATTGAAACCTGGAAGAGTTTAAAAATCAAATACCTATCCTGGGATTGCATAACACCGAAAATCAAAACAAAAGCATATCTGGGGGAGGAACTAAATGACCTCTGACAGCCCCCATGATTCTATAATCTTAGACCCCACCTCCCAATTAGTCTTAGTGATAATATGTGAAGAAAACAACCAACACTTAGATTTAAAAAAATTTTTTTTCCTATAATTCTTTTCTTCAGGGAGGAGGTAAATGACAAATTACGGGACATGCCAGATGGTACCTTCTTGGTCAGAGATGCCTCAACCAAAATGCAGGGAGATTACACTTTGACCTTGCGGTGAGTATTTTTCAGCATTTTGTCTAGTGTTCTACTAGCATGATTTATTTCTGGGTATACAAAGATTCCTGCATTTTATTTAAATCTTTATATACAATTTTTTTCATGTTTTTATTTAATTTAGATACATAATTTTAGTTGTTTGGCTACTATCCTTTTCCTACACATTTAAATATTTAAATTAATGCTAAAAAGGCAACAATTTTTATTTTTATGTAGCAGTAAAACAAAAAGCCTTAAAATCCCTAAATATGATGAAGTCAGATGTATATGGTTGACCTTATGTGTGAAGTAGAAGTCATGGGCACAGCCTAAAGTTATTAATGATATGCTGGGAATCCACCTCTCCAATAACTCTATTGACTTCCTCAATCTAGACTTCAGAGAGTAAAACTCAACATAATTTAGGTTGATGAGGATAGGTAGAGGATAAGACAATTTTCATGCCATCTGTGTGGGCATATTAGAATCTCATAAGGTGGATGTATCAGTGTCTATATTTACAAAGATGGGACGTATAATTAAATAGATTAGGGAAACTGTATTAGATATTTCTACATTTAGTTTTAACAGTTAACATAGCCTAAGGACAATTAAAGAATCTGCCTGCCAGTGCAGGAGATGTGGATTTGATCCCTAGACTGGGAAGATCCCCTGCAGAAGGAAATATCAACCCACTCCAGTATTCTTGCCTGGGAAATCCCATGGACAGAGGAGGTTGGCAGGCTACAGTCCATGGGGTCACGAAAGAGTTGGAAACAAAAAAAAAAAAGAAAGAGTTGGAAACCACTTAGCGACTAAACAACAAGGACAATAAGGTCTTGCGTTCTGTTTTGTTTTTTAAAAAGGGACTGTCTAAAGAATAATGGCAACAATAACAACTTCCTTGTACTAAGCATTTTACATGCAGTATCTATATCAAAACAATCTTATGAGGTAGGTATCATTAATAACATTAATATTTTCATTTTATAGATGAAGCAGCTGAAGCTTAACTTGGTTAAGAAACTTGTCCTAAAGACACTTAGCTCGTAATTGTCAGAGGACAGGTTCAAACTCAGACTTATTTGTCTCTTTGCTGCCTTTCCAGCCTAGCATCTTTAGGAAAAATTATCCTAGAAATTTGGGATTACTATATATCAGCTTCTGGTAAAGACATTAAGAAGTTAATGAAGCTAGGACTTCAGCTGTGCTGAAGAATAATCCATGTTCTGCAGTGATTCATTCAACATTTTTTCCCATTTCAGTCCGGCTGCTGTCTCTACTGCTGTTCACGGACTGCTAGACCAATGGCCACTTCTCTCTTACCTTTCTGACCTCTTAGCAGCATTAGTCATAGACATGTCTTCTTAGAAACGGTTTGTTGTCTTGGCTGTTCTGACATCACACTCTCCTAATGTTCTTCCTAACTCATTTGAGATTATTCCAGGGCTCAGAACTGGGCCTCATTCTCTTCACTATATTCATTCTCCCAAGGTGAGCTTGTCCTGTCCCGTGGCTTTAATGTACATCTTCATAGTGATAATTCATAAACCTTATCTCTAGCTCTGACCTTCTGAATTCCAGATGCCTATATCCGGTTGCCACTCAGATAACTAGAGCACATACTAATTTTAATATAGTCAAAGCAGAATTCTTGATTTCTAATGCAGCTCCCCCTACCCAAACTGTTTCTCTTCTAGTGTTCCCCATTTTTTTTTTTTTTCAGAAATAGAACCACCATCTCCATTACTACCACTATTTTGTGCTACTTGAGTCACAGAATCTTTTTTTTCCTCACATCCAATCTGTCATTAAACAAGCCCTGCCAACTCTACCTCCAAATCTATATCCATAATCTCTTTACACTTGTCTGCCATCCAAATCTAAGCCACCATTTTCTTGCTTGATATTTCATAGTTACCTCCTAACAGGTTTGGATATGCAGAAAGTTGGAGAGGAGGTTGCAGGATTTGGTAGCAAGAGAAACAAAGATATGGAGGTGAGAAACTGTAGAGCTCTGTTCTGTGAGATGCAATTCCATTTGGCTAGAGAGTTAACATTTGAAGAGAAAAAGTGTAGGGGTTAGAAAGTTGGAAAGGGTCATGTTGAAGAGGGCCTTGAATTCTAAACTTAGGAATTTGTGTTTAATATTGTATGGAGGCAGGGGGAACCATTTCATTCTTCAATGGAGATGTTTTACAGTTAGACTGTGTTTGAATAGAAAGAATAAAAGAGGATAGAGACTAGTAAGGAGTTAGATGGCTGTTATGAATTGAGAGGGAATGATGTTCTAGAATTAGGTTTATTCTTTATAATCATTTAATATTATTAAGTGCCCACAGTGTTCCAGGAAAAGAAAATACTGGACAAGTCAAAAATGGTTTCTTGTCTATAGTGTTTATATTTGGGGGTTGGTAATAGTCAGGGAGAGGGAGACAAAAGAAACACATTAAAAAAAAAAAAAAGAAACAGTTCCCTGGTGGTCCGGTGGTTAGGACTCTATGCTTTCACTGTGGGGTTGGGAAATAAGATCCTGCAAGCCATGTGGCACAGCCAAAAAAGAAAAGAAATGAGACCGAACCACTTTGTTGTACAACTGAAACTAACACAAATTGTAAATTGGCTATAGTTCGATTTAAAAAAAATTAAATGAAGTAATTTCACAGTATATGAAGGGCTATGTAGGGAATACATAAGGTTATATGATAACAGAATATGAGGAGAGGAAATTTCACAAAGTTTTGAGGAGAGCCTCTCTGAGGATATGACCTTTGAAAACTGAAGTATTAGAAAGAGCTGGCCAGAAAAGTGTTCCAAGGAGAGGGAACAGAAAATGCAAAGACACTGATTTTGGAAAGATCTGGTGAATCCAATGAATGCAGACACCGATGTTCCTGGCTTTCAGTGTGAATCAGAGTAGTAGGAGATGAAGTTGAAAGTGGGAAAGAGCCAGATGCGAAGAGCCTAATGAGCCATGGTAAGGAATTTGAACTTTATTTCTAGGTGCAAAAAATATATATATAATAAAGGGTTTTAAGCAGGGCAATGACATGATCAAAAGATTGAATACACTATTACCTCGGATTGTGGCTCTAGGAAAAGAGTTGAGAATCAAAGTAAGAGGCAATGTTGAGCTGAGAGCTAAAGGGATTTGATAATAGAAAAGGTATGAGGTTAAGGAGGAGTTAAAAGTGACTGTGGTTTGAGCCTGCTGGGCTTAGAATGAATGTGCCATTTATAGAAATAGGAGAGTCAGGAGCAGTTGATTTTTAGTTGCTTCAGAACTTCCAGGTAAAAATACATCTAGAGTACAGCTAGAAATTTAGGTTTAATGCTTAGGGGAGGATATAGGGCCAGAAAAAGATTCGGGTACATATCTACATAGAATAATTGGAATTTTAAGGAAAGGGTTTATATAGGAAAAAAAGGGTGGAGGACTGAAGGCAAATTTTTTTAGGGAATAAACTGTGTAGCAGCAGGATGGAGGCAGAGAAAGAGCAATTAAGAGGTTGAAAGAAAAGAATAATGTCACAGAAGTCATAGAAGTATGAAATATTAAGAAGGAATGGGAGTAGAGGAAAGAAAGGGAGTGTGGAAATTTGAGTCACTGCAAAGAATCTGAGCCTGGGATAGATGGGGAGAGCAAAGTTCGAATTTGGTAAAAAGTCACTGGTGACCCTCAAAGAAGAGAAAAGAGCGTGAGATCAGACTGCAGACAATAGGTGAGAGGAAGTAGAGCTTTTTCGATTCAGTTACCATTTAAAAAAGTCAGCAAATGGTATTTATAGTAGAAAATCTGGATAGTTAACAAATCTTTAGGAATCTGATACATGCCGGCATTGGACCAGGTGCTAGGATGTAAGGAGGAGTAGCAATGTTCTTCTGTTAAGAAGGTTACAGCATGGGAGAGACATAATTAAAAGCCCACTATTCCTCAGTTCCTTCATGTCTTTACTGCCTTCTCTCTTTAGAGTTAACAGTCTAATATTAAAATAACCTTGTTCTCCAGACTTGTGCCTCTCTCCCTTGTAGTAGTCGTCTAAATATTGATATATTCCAACACTTGTTAAATTCAACTCTCCATCTGTTTTTTGCCTATACCCGGGCAGCTGAATGTGGAGAAAAATACATCATGCAGGCTGTTGTGCAGTCACTAAGTCCTGTCCAACTCTTTATGAGGGTGTGTGTGCTCAGTCTTGTTCAACTCTTTGTGACCCTATGGACTGCAGTCCACCAGGCTCCTCTGTCCATGGAATTTTCCAGGCAAGAATACTGGAGTGGGTTGCCATTTTCTACTCCAGGGATCCAGCTCTTTACCACCCTATGAACTGCAGCATACCAGTATCGTCTGTCCTCCACTATCTCCCAGAGTTTGCGAAAATTCATATCCATTGAGTTGGTGATGCTATCTAACCATCTCATCCTCTGCTGCCTCCTTCTCCTTTTGTCTTCAGTCTTTCCCAGCGTCAGGGTCTTTTCCAGTGAGTTGGCTTGTGACTGCCAATCTTAAGTGGGCATTTAGTACTGCCACGCTGCATTTACATTTTCACGATCCATTTGCTCTCTTACTTTTCCTAGATGATAATTTCACATGTTCTTTTTTTCTCTTCAGATCAACAACCCACATTCCTCCCTTTTAACTAAAGAAGTTGCTTCCTGTTTCTCTGAGGATATAGAAACAGTTAGAAGAGACCTAATTCCTTCATGCTCCTGTTGCTGCAGCCGTCAACATGAGTGTGAATACTCTGCCTTTCTCCTGTTCCAGTGATGACTGTTCATGTCCTTGTCCAGGATCCCGTTGTGGATGAGACCCCATCCCATCCCTCTAACCTACTCAAGGAATCACCCTAGGAATTATCTTGTTCTTTCTTTTGGATCAAGTTTTGGTCTCTACTGAGCCATTCCCATAAGTATATAAATATGCTTTATAATCTGTCACTTAAGAATAATAAATAAAATTCCTTTGACTCTTTCAACTGTTTCCCTATTTCTCTGCTTCCATTTATATCAAGACAGTTGTCTGTAGGCATTTCTTCTTCCTCGTCTTTCATTCTCTTTAACCCATTTCAATCGGTCTTCCATCCTTACCATTCCATTGAAACCATTTTGTCAAGACCCCTTAGTGATCTCTACTTTGCCAAACCCCAAGATCATTTACCCAGTTGATCATATCCTCTTTGACAAAATGCTTTTTTAAAAAACAGGTTTTTAGGATACTGTTTACTTCAGTAATTGCTCTATTGTAATTGCTCAGTAATTCTCCTTATACTTCATAAATTGCTCTATCTTGGTTTCCTTCCTCATCTCCCTGACCACTAAACATTGGTGTACCCCAGGACTTAGACCTCGGACCTTTTCTCTTATTCAACTATGTTCATCTTCAAATAACATCTATAGGCTGACAACTCCTGATTTTATACATCTGGCCCAGAACTTGCTCCTGAACTTTAGATTCTTTACATAGGCTGCAGGATCCTCTGCTCTTGGATGTTCACTGGGCATGTCAAACGTTAACAAATCTAAAGTTAAAATGCTTTTTTCCTCTTTAAACATGTTCCTTTTATATATATATCCTTCTTCTTTCTGATAAATGACAATTCCATTCTGACTGCTTAAGATAAAAACCGTGAGATCATCTTTACTTTTGTCTCCTTTCATGCCTATATCTAGGCCACAGCACCTTCTGTCAACTCTCTCTTCAGCATATTTTCAATCTACCATTTCTCAGTATCTCCACAGCTACTACCCTTGTCCAAGACACCATCTTGTCTTACCTAGATTATTTTACAAGTCTCCCAGCTGACCTTTCTACTTCTACCCCTGCCCACTTTGAATGGTCTTATCAACTTAGCATCTAGAATGAGCCTTGTAAAACACAAAATAAATGATACCATTCTGCTCAGACTTTCTTGTGTTCCCCATCTTAGTCAGCAAAAGCAAAAGCCATTACAGTGATCTACAGGCTATTATAGGATACAGGTTCCTTTTACTTTGTCTCCTACTACTCTCCTTTTTGCTTTTTTTAGCTCCACCACTGCTGACCTCATTGCTGTTCCTGGAACACGCCAAGCTTGCTTCTACCTCAGAGGCTTTGCACTTGTTATTCCCTGTCTGGAAAACTTCTCCCCCAGATATCTGCTGTGCCAGATTGCTCACATCATTTAGGACTCTGCTAAATGTCGCCTAAACAGAGTGGTTTTCCTTGTGCAACATATATGAAGTAGCCATTTTTCCACCCCCAGAATAATCTCTTTCCTTTGCTCTGCTTTTTTTTCCCTAAAGGACCTATTGCCAGTTGATAGATCTAGTTGTTTATTTCTATGTTCTATCTTAATGAAAAATTCTTTATCCTCTTTATAAAAATTGGGATATGTTCCACCTGCTCCTAAACTGGAAGTTCTGTGAGAGCATGTACTGTATCTGGCTTAATTTATCACTGTGTCCACTGTGCCTCATACAGTCTGGACATGTAATAGATGTGCAAAAAGTTTTTTTGAATGAATAAGTACCTTCTAGTTTTCCTTTAGCAGGAAGAGCAACTTGCATTTATTATGGGTATATGCATGGGAATACACACCTATAGAAACTGCTTATGATTAGGTGGTCCTTCTAATGTAACCTTTTATAGGATAGTTCTTCATCCATCTAAACTGACCATCTAAGCATTAAATTTAAATTGTCCACAGATTCAAACCTATTATGTTTGACCTTTTACAAATCCCAGTGCTTCATTTATCATGTGTAATGGCATGGCATAAAGAGATAAAGAAGCATATTTTTCCCCCATTAAATCTGCATGCTGCTGCAAGAACAGTTGAGTGAGAATTGTGCAGTATTTTGCTATGATGTAATGAATCAGTCTACTCTGGTTTTAGATTATACCTTAGGGGACTTGCAAAACATGGCCATTTTAAGCTTTGTTTATAAATTATCTTTTAAGGGACCATTGGATATGTCTCAGTAAACAAAAGTGGTCTGAGCTATTCAAGCATCTAATATAAATGGCTCTTCAAAAGCTATACTTTGTAAAACAGTTGAATGACAGTTGAATCATTTACATATTGTGATAGCCTAAATAAATAGTCTTTCCAAGTATTATAAGCGAATCTAAAAGACAAAGTAATGTAGGGTGCTGGATTAATTACTCAGTTATAAATCATTCAAGGAGCTTAATTATGTTTGTGCATTAACAATAAAACCTTGAGTGTTGTGTTGGTGTATGTGTGACAAATGGTTATCACCCTCTTCATATAGAGCTTGCTTCTGTGTCTCTCCAGAGACACACAACCACATATCTTTAGATCCTGAAGAGATTGTCTCTGTTCTTCTTGATACAGAATTTGCATTAAGAAAATTTGTTCAGAAAAAAACAAAAGATACAATTTACTTTTGTTTTAGTTTTTTTTAGTGATTATTTTTGTTAAATTTGTTGATACTGAAAGTTGGGTATGTTGACCTTTAGTAACCAAGATACTTTACAGACAGAAGAAATAATTGTAAATATAATATAATATTATGTATACTTCTACACATATAATATATGCCTTTTCACCCATTCCAGTCTGTTAACACAGTAAAACTTGTTTATAATGTGACACCAAGCTTTCATATCTCCAAGTGAAAGAGTACTTCAACAGAATTTTTTGGGAAAAAAAATCTACAGTTATGTCTTATTGTTCACAGGAAGGGAGGCAATAATAAGCTAATAAAGATCTATCATCGAGATGGTAAATATGGCTTTTCTGATCCTCTGACATTTAATTCTGTGGTGGAGCTCATTAGCCACTATCATCATGAATCTCTTGCCCAGTACAATCCCAAACTTGATGTGAAACTGATGTACCCAGTGTCCAGATACCAACAGGTAGGTATGATTACATAAGTTTGGGATTTTTTTTTTTTGGCTGTGCTCTGTGGCATGCGGGATCTTATTTCCCTGACCATGAATTGAACCCATACTGCTGCAGTGGAAGCGCAAAGTCAACCACTGGAGCACCAGGGAAGTCCTGTGGTTACACAGGCTCTTAATAGCTAATCAGCAAGTCATTATTTGGCAACATCATTTGATTCTAACTTACCAGGTTTATCAGGGAAAAAAAGGAGAAATGCTAAATGGTTGATTTAAGATACTTTTAGAACTTACTTTGAACTACTATTCCTTAATATCTTGTTGCATGTGTTTGTTAACTTTATATAAAAATATTTGTGTTAGTGTTTCCTATTTCATTAAAAAAAATTTAAGTATTACCTATTTTGAGGTGATCTAAAGAGTGAGCTTAGTGTTAACAAAAAGATTTAGTGGTTTCCCATACTTGATACTAATACAGTAGCTTAAACTTACAGCAGAAATACAATTTAAATAGTTGTAGAAAAACCCATGTTTTAGAAATATTGACAGTCTTTATTTCTTGTGTTTACCTATATAGGATCAGTTGGTAAAAGAAGATAATATTGATGCCGTCGGTAAAAAACTGCAGGAGTATCACTCTCAGTATCAGGAAAAGAGTAAAGAATATGACAGACTATATGAAGAATACACCAGAACATCCCAGGTTAGTATATTTTTGTTGTTTAGGCCAGTAAGTAGGCAGTAAGGCTTATAGTTATCTTGGATTTTCTATAATATTATTATTTTCTGTAATTCACTTGACAGTCTTTATCTGCCTTGATATCTTTTCTAAACTAAAAAAGCTTATTGAAGTATAGTTGATTTACATATATAAATTCTTATGTATATAAAGATTTTTATGTATAAATTCTTTTTCAGATTCTTTTCCATTATAGCTTGTTTCAAGATATTGAATCTAGTTCCTTGTGTTATACAGTGAGGCCTTGTTTTAGGCTTCCCTGGTGGCTCAGAAGATAAAGAGTCTGCCTGCAATGCAGGAGACCCAGGTTTGATCCCTGGGTTGGGAAGATCCCCTGGAGAAGGAAATGGCAACCCACTCCAGTACTCTTGCTTGGAAAATCCCATGGACAGAGGAGCCACAGTAGACTACAACCCATGGGGTCGCAAAGAATCAGACATGACTGAGCGACTTCACTTTCACTCTTTTGTTTAAGCTATCTTAGTATCTCTTTTTAAAAATTAAACTAAATTTAATTAATTAATTTATTGATTGATTGTGCTGGGTCTTTATTGCTGCACTTGGGCTTTCTCTAACTGTGGTGAGCAGGACCATCTCTTGTTGCAGAATATAGGTTCTAGGTGCATGGGCTCAGCAGTTGTGGCTCACAGGCTTAGTTTCCTGCACCATGTGGAATCTTTCCAAACCAGGGATCTAATCTGTGTCCCCTGACTTGTCAGGCGGACTCCCAACCACTGAACCACCAGGGAAGTCCAGTACCAACTTACTACTGCAAAGTTTTTAGTAGGGTTTAAACACTCTGTATATGCTCCTATACATCTTTATTCCTCCCCTCTTATATTGTTATCACTACTGATTACTTTTTTATACATTGTCTGCCCATTCGCATAGATTTATAATTATAGTTTTATGCATTTGTCCTTTGAAACATATAGAACATGGACAGAGGAGCCTGCAGGCTGTAGTCATAGGGTTGGAAAGAGTCAGACATGACTGAAGCTACTTAGCATGCACGCAACCAAAAGTACAAAACTACTGGCTTTTATATTTGCTTATACAGTTGCTTCTACCAGTGTTCTTTATTTATTCATGTAGCTTTGAGTTATTGTCTAGTGTCCTTTCATTTCATTCCAAAGGAATCTCTTGAGCATTTCTTGTAGGGCAAGTCTTGGGGTAACAGACTCCTTTTCTTTTGTCTATCTGGGCTTATCTTATATAATTTCTCTTCCTTCATTCTTGAAGGACAGTACTTCTAGTTACAGAAGTCTTGGCTGACAGTTTTTTTTCTTCCAGGGCTTTAAATATTGCCCACCTGCTGCCTTATGGCCTAAATATTTTGTATGGCAAATCAGCTATTATTTTTATTGAAGGCCATTTGTATATGATAAGTCACTTCTTTTTTGCTGCTTTTAAGATTCTCTCTGTGTTTTGACAGTTTGATTACAGTTGTGAAATACTTAGTTTTTTAAAAATATCTTTGTCTATAGTTTGTTAACTGTTTAAGGTTTAGTCAGTTGTGAGCTCTTCCAGTATTACTGTGTTTCATGATGCCTTGTTTTCACCCTAGAATTAATGTTCTTGATTCTCAGCCCCAAAGCCCTTGATCTTGTTTCTAAGCTAGTATCTGTGGTGTGCAGTGTAAATGCAGAGACTGCACCAGGAGTCTCTGGACTGGAGGAGCTTATTAGGAGATACTGGCCTGTGAGAATTGCGGGTTAGGTATGCGATACAGTGCTGACTGGGGGAAGGTGTGGGATTACAGTGGTCAGAGTTACTGTGATGGTCCATTTTTCTTTGTGAGGTGTTTGATTTCATTTTTTCAGGTTTTCTTTTATTAGCTAAGTAGTTATTCAGAATGACTTTAACAACCTTTTTTCCCCTTCCTATCTGATACTTGTGCTTTGTCTGTGGTGTGACTGTATGTGTACGCTGTTTTTTACACTGCAGATTTCAGGGTTTCTGTGTTCCTTTGCCTCTTCTAAGTGAATTATCTGTGATGAGACTAGTATTTGATTTAGAATGGAGAAAAAGTTACTGAGGTTTCTTCAGATTGAATCAACATAAGTGGTCAATTTAGGGGATGGTGAAATTATCATACATATACATATATATAGCTATTAGAAGAGTTTTCAGAAATTACTTTAAAACTTGATTTTTAAAATGTGCAAAAGTTATATAAATATATATGTTAAATACAAATATTGCTGAATTCTATGAATTATATCACACAGCATGAAAGTCCTCATTCCGCAGAGGCAACTGCTGTTATTAAATGCTTCTTAGGAATTCCTCATGACCTCAGAAATGCTAATGATGTAGCTTCAGGTAAAGGATGGGAACTTAAGCATAGACATATTCTGTCATAGGACATCAGTAGTTTTTAACATAACCAGTTTTAGAAAATAATTCTCCTAATTTCCAATTTAGTTCACTTTATATTTTTTAAGAAAGGTAATCTGTGTGTTTGTGTGTGTGTGTGTGTGTGTGAGTGAGAGAGAGAGGAGAGAGGGAGAATCAGGTATGAAAGATTAGTACAACCATCCAGAAATATGTATTGAATACCTAGTCTAGGTATGAAACTGTATTTGACTCTCGCTATACAGAGGGAGAAGTGAGGCCTGATTTTGCAGAAGTGCAAGGTCCTCTGACATATTTGTTAACTGTGATGTGCATTAGTCAAAATAGCATGCTTTAATTTTAATCCCTTTCCTCTGCATCAGATAAAGCAGTGATGGGTTACTGTAATCGTGTGGGTGAATTTATTTAAAGGGGAATGCATAACACTATGTTTAATCTCACAAAAATATTAAGTAAAAGATTCAAAAGATATATGAGTATATTCTATAAGGTACAAAACCAAGCAAATGTTAACATTTTCATTTTGACTAGGAACATAAAGTGGTAAGGTTCCAGGAGAGCAGAAGTTTTCAAATTTGTTCACTTACATATCCCAAATGCTTCAAATAATGGCTGGCATATAGTTTTGTTGTTTATTCGCTAAATTGTTTCTGTCTCTTTGAGAACCCATGGACTGTAGCCCACCAGGCTCCTCTGTCCATGGGATTTTCCAGGCAAGAATTCTGGAGTGGGTTGCCATTTCTTTCTCCAGGGGATCTTGCCAGCCCAGGGATCGAACCCGCGTCTCTTGCATTGGCAGGCAGATTCTTTACCACTGAGCCACCATTCAATTATTTGTTGAATGAATTTATGTAAGATAATGAACCAAAGCATTCCACCCTTGTCAAGAGCCTGAAATCAGATCTCAGTGTGGACTAGAGTCTTGGAGAAGGATAACACCTCTGTGAATGGAAGTTAGAAAAAAATAGCCACCACTGCATATGGCTTTGGCTTGTGTAGAGTTGCATTTCTTTCTTATCATTACTGGAGAAAACTCCACATGTTGCACACATGCCCAGTAATATCCTCATATTTAACAGCAGAATATGAGTGCTGAGCAGCTGACATGAGACTGGGTTCTGGAAGTGTAATCCCTGCTTAGGGAGCTGGGAATGAGGCTGGATGGAGGCAATCAAAAAAGCCAGAAGGCCAAGACTAGAAGACAGCTAATTTCTCTGTGTGAAAATTGAGAGCATGACCTGAGATGGGCCAAGCAGAGAAGAGCCTTGGAGGCTTAAAGCTTTGGGAGGTAGGAGAAGAGAGGGAGGGATCCAGAGGGATCCAATGATTAGCAGTTTAGGAGAGACAGTGAGTGTTAAAGGGAGATTAAAGAACTGATCTCCTCTTTTTGTGTTACAGCGTTTCTAAATGTTGTAGACCTTCTCCATGTTTTCTTTTTCTATAAAAGGAAAGATTTCATTTTAGATAAAATCTAGTTTGCTATGGTGTAATCAAATTCTTCCCAGAGAATGGGAAGAGATGGTATACCCAGAGTCAGAGTTGGCACAGGGTGAGAACAGGCTGCTTGTGGGGATATTTACATCTGGATTACATATAATTATGAGGCAAAGTGATAGGATTTAGTGATGGTTTGGGATTAGACACCGTAATTCAGCCATGAGATCATTGGTGATCTTGGAAAGGGCAGTGTCTATGGAAGGGTGAGTGCAGAAGCCAGAATAGAGTCAGCTGGAGTATGAATGAGAGATGAGGAGAGAGAGAGCCCATATAAAAAATTCTTTTAAGAAGCTGAAAAGAGAAATCAGGGTTAAGGAACTTTATTTTTTTTCAAAATGGTGTTAAATTAGAACCTGTGTGAGAAGCAACCTTAGACTGGGAGAGTGAATGTTGTGAGAGGGGCTAGTTGATATGATATGAAGTACCAGAGGAAGGGAAAGGAGGTAAGACCCAGAGAAGAGAAGAACGGGTAAGGTGGTTACAGTTTTCATGGTAGGCATAGTGGCATTGTTTGTGGGGGAGCTGCTGCTTTGGCAGTGACACCAAATATTATTTCCTTTGCTGCTCTGCCTGCCAACACACACAACAGTCAGACTGTTGGTGTTTTCTTTGAAGATATAGGGCCAGAACTTTAATCAGTTCAGTTGTTCAGTCATGTCCGATTCTTTGCACTCCATGGACTGCAGCACTCCAGGCCTCCCTGTCCATCACCAACACCCAGAGTTTACACAAACTCATGTCCATTGAGTCGGTGATGCCATCCAACCATCTCATCCTCTGTCGTATCCTTCTCCTCCTGCCTTCATTCTTTCCCAGTATCAGGGTCTTTTCAAAAGAGTCAGTTCTTCTCATCAGGTGGCCAAAGTATTGGAACTTCAGCTTCAGCATCAGTCCTTCCAATGAACATTCAGGACTGATTTCCTTTAGGATGGACTGGTCAGATATCCTTGCAGTCCAAGGGACTCTTTAAGAGTCTTCTCCAACACCACAGTTCAAAAGCTTCAATTCTTTGGTGCTCAGCTTTCTTTAAAGTCTAACTCTCACATCATCCATGACTACTGGAAAAACCATAGCCTTGACTAGATGGACCTTTGTTGGCAAAATAATGTCTCTGTTTTTTAATACGCTGTCCAGGTTTGTTATAGCTTTTATTCCAAGGACCAAGCGTCTTTTAATTTCATGGCTGCAGTCACCATCTGCAGTGATTTTGGAGCCCCCAAAAATAAAGTCTGTCACTGTTTCCACTGTTTCCCCATCTATTTGCCATGAAGTGATGGGACCAGATGCCATGATCGTAGTTTTCTGAATGTTGCGTTTTAAGCCAACTTTCTCCTCTTTCACTTTCATCAAGAGGCTCTTTAGTTCTTCTTTGCTTTCTGCCATAAGGGTGATGCCATTTGCATATCTGAGGTTATTGCTATTTCTCCCAGCAATCTTGATCCCAGCTTGTGCTTCATCCAGTCCAGCATTTTTCATGATGTACTCTGCATATAAGTTATATAAGCAGGGTGACAACACACAGCCTTCACATACTTCTCTCCCGATTTGGAACCAGTCTGTTGTTCCATGTCCAGTTCTAACTGTTGCTTCTTGACCTGCATACAGATTTCTCAGGAGGCAGGTTAGGTGGTCTGATATTACCATCTCTTGAAGAATTTTCCACAGTTTGTCGTAACCAACACAGTCAAAAGCTTTGGCATAGTCAATAAAGCAGAGGTAGATGTTTTTCTGGAACTCTCTTGCTTTTTCGATGATCCAGCGGATGTTGGCAATTTGATCTCTGATTTCTCTGCCTGTTCTAAATCCAGCTTGAACATCTGGAAGTTAATGGTTCATATAGTGTTGAAGCCTGCCTTGGAGATTTTTGAACATTATTTTGCTAGTGTGTGAGATGAGTGCAAATTGTGTGGTAGTTTGAGCATTCTTTGGCATTGGCTTTCTTTGGGATTGAAATGAAAACTGCCCTTTTCCAGTCCTTTGGCCACTGCTGAGTTTTCCAAATTTGCTGACATATTGAGTACAGCACTTTCACAGCATCATCTTTTAGGATTTGAAATTGCTCAGCTGGAATTCCTTCACCCTACTAGCTTTGTTCGTAGTGATGCTTCCTAAGGCCCACTCTACTTTGCACCTCAGGATGTCTGGCTCTAGGTGAGTGATCACACCATCATGATTATCTGGGTCGTGAAGATCTTTTTTGTATAGTTCTTCTGTGTATTCTTGTCACCTTTTCTTAACCTTGCAAGGAAGCCAAAACCCTCCCCCATATTTGAGAATTGTAGAATTTATAGCTAAATATTTAGATATAGGGATTCCAATAAGTTTAGAGTACTACTTGAGATATGTATGATATATCCTCAGCTATATGAAACATCACAAGGTTCTAGTGTCCCTCATCTGCGAATTCCCTTATGTTCCAGCCCTGCTGAGCAATTGCAGATCCACCTTTATTTTGTATAAGTCATGCCATACCATCTGTGTGCAATGCTGAATTTTCTTCTCCTACCCTAATTCTTTAAGACCTAACTCAGATGTTGCCTCCTCCGTGAAGTCTCTGTAAAGCAATAAGTAATTAATTCACCCCACTTTATTTCCTCTATCATGACATGAAACAAAACCTTATTAGAGTTCAGAAATCTATTTTGCCTGTGTATTCTGAATCCTGGAGGGCAGGCCCCTTTTGTGACTCTCTTTAACACCAGATGGTACTTTCTGTGTAATGGATTCTCAATAATCATTTGTTGAAATTAATCAGTCAAATTAATCAATTAATAATTTGTTGAAAATAATCAGTGAAATTAATCAGGGCTTTCCTGGTGGCTAAGTGGTAAAGAATCCTCCTACCAATACAGGACACATGGGTTTGCTCCCTGGTCTGGAAAGATTCCACATGCCGCAGAGCAACTAAGCCCATGCATCTCAACTATTGAGCCTGTGTTCTAGAGCCCAGGAACTGCAACTACTGTGCCCATTTGCCACAGCTTCTGAAGCCTGCGTGCCCTAGATAGAGCCTGTGGTCTGCAATAAGAGAAGCCACCATAATGAGAAGCTGTAACTAGAGAGTAGCCCACTCTTGCCACAACTAGAGAAAAGCCCAAGCAGCAATAAAAGACCCAGCATAGCCAAAGCTAACTAAATAATAAGTAAAACAAATAAGATTATTAAAATTAATTAGAAATTAATAATAAGAAATTAATAAGAAATTAATCAGTGCTAAATAGCTGATGAATTGTCCCATTAGCACTGAAACTTTTAAAATTGTAAACTTTCAGGATCACAGTCTTTCTAGACCTTTATATATATTTTCTTGACTTTTTAAAGTAAACAAAATTTAACCCTCTTTGAAAATTTTAGGGGAGTCATGATTCAGATGCTAAAGTGTACAGATACCCTCAGAGCTCATTGGAACGTGGAGGACCACTTACCCTAGTGTGAGTGGCTTAGCCTCCTGGGCTTCTGTTTTGTGGTGTTTTTAGTTTTTCATCTTATTTTGCATCTGATGTCAGCAGCTTTCTTCCCCTTCCTCATTTTCTGTTTCTAATGAGATGAATCTACTAATGAATCTGTTTTGAAAATGACATGCTTTAGAAATGAAGTAAGATTAAATAGACTCTGTAGGGCTTTTCTGGAAAATAAGGTTTTGCATGCTGGTGCATGAACTTTGTTCTGTCTCTTCACTCCATGAGCACCTTTTGGGGGTCAGTACTGCAGTAGTTACAAAGGAGAAACTTTATCTTGTCTTCAGGGTATGCAGGGTTAATCTCTTAGCAGCTCAGAGGCCTTTCTGTGGTTCTCAGCTATATTTCAGGTAATAGTTATTTTTCTTTTATTTTAGGGTTTTAATGATATATTTCATACATAAATAATGGTAGAAGGGTCTTGTTTTGGCCCCCTTAATTTGATCTCATGTGGAATCATAACTAGAATTATAAGATTTGTGTTAAGACAAAGGTTACAAAAATAAATAAAAAGATAATGAAGTGTGTTTATCTTTTTTTATCCTATAGGAAATACAGATGAAGAGGACCGCAATTGAAGCTTTTAATGAAACAATTAAAATATTTGAAGAGCAGTGTCATACACAAGAACAACATAGCAAAGAATATATTGAGCGATTTCGAAAAGAAGGGAATGAAAAGGAAATTGAACGGTAAATCTACCTAATATCTCCCAAGTGCATCAGTGAGCCAAGATGTTTTTTCTTCTTTAATCATCTCTGTCATGTCTGCTTTTACCTCAGACTTGACAGTCCTGCCATATGGAATTACTTGCTGTTCACACTAATGGTACCAAGCTGAACCTTCTCTCTTCTGCATTCTTTCTCCATCCTCCTAAATTGTTGACTCCTTTAGGACTCAGCTTAGACATGACTTTCTAGAAAATTTCCTCTGATTCCCTAGGCTGTTTTAGGGGCTTTTTGTCCCCATTTCTATAGCATCTGATCCTGATCCTTACTGTATCATTTACTGAAAGTCACACTAACAGAACTGTGAGCTTGTTGAGAGTAAGGGTGGTGGCTTATTTTCCTTCATAGCTTCAGAATATGTTACAGTGTTTGAGAGTACATAGTGGTAAATAGAGTTAATAGAAATGCTGAGGACTGTATGCTTGACCAGATATGGCAGGTGTGGGAGAAGCCAAAGATTATTCCTAGATTTCTGATACTAGTGACTAAGGGATGGTGTAATTCACCAAAATGGGAAGTACATGAGGGGAGTTTGGAGTGGGAACCAGTGAGTTTTGAGGTTCCTATGAGAACCCAAATGGAATTGTCTGAGTGGTAGGCAGTTGATTATTTGGATTTGGAACTCTACAGAAAGGATTTGAGTGGCAAAAGTGTGTAGGTTATGGTAGATAATAAGGTTGAGATTACACAGAGAATGAGAAACATGAGAAGTATTGAATCTGGCAACTAAAAGAATACTGGGAACCTTTATAAAAGCAAATTTAGTGGAGTGTTAGAAAATGAGCCAAAAAAAAAAAAAAGAAAATGAGCCAAGTAACAGCGGGTTGAGGGGTGCAAAAGTAGATAATAAAACTGAATCACATGAAGGGAAAAGCAAAATTATTACTTGTGTTAGCACCAAAGTGTTAGTGAACTTTTGTGCCTAAGAATAATATTAAGTGCTGTGAGGCAGTATAGCTTAATGGCTTAAGTTCAGTTCAGTTCAGCCGCTCAGTCCTGTCCAACTCTTTGCAACCCCATGGACTGCAGCACGCCAGGCCTCCCTGTCCATCACCAACTCCCAGAGTTTACTCAAACTCATGTCCATTGAGTTGGTGATGCCATCCAACCATTTCATCCTCTGTCATCCCCTTCTCCTGCCTTCAGTCTTTCCCAGCATGAGGGTCTTTTCAAATGAGTCAGTTCTTTGCATCAGGTGGCCAAAGTATTGGAGTTTCAGCTTCAGCATCTGTCCTTCCAATGAATATTCAGGACTGATTTCCTTTAGGATGGACTGGTTGGATCTCCTTGCAGTCCAAGGGACTCTTAAAGAGTCTTCTTCAACACCACAGTTCAGTTCTTCGGCGCTCAGCTTTCTTTATAGTCCAGTTCTCACATCCATACATGACTACTGGAAAAACCATAGCTTTGACTAGACGGACCTTTGCTGGCAAAGTAACGTCTCTGCTTTTTAATATGCAGTCTAGGTTGGTCATAACTTTTCTTCCAAGGAGCAAGCGTCTTCTAATTTCATGGCTGCAGTCACCACCTGCAGTGATTTTGGAGCCCCCAAAAATAAAGTCTGTCACTGTTTCTGCTGTTTGCCCATCTATTTGCCATGAAGGAATGGGACCAGATGCCGTGATCTTAGTTTTCTGAATGTTGAGTTTTAAGCCAACTTTTTCACTCTCCTCTTTCACATTCATCAAGAGGCTCTTTAGTTCTTTGCTTTCTGCTATAAGGGTGGTGTCATCTGCATATCTGAGATTATTGCTATTTCTCCCAGCAATCTTGATCCCAGCTTGTGCGTCTTCCAGCCCAGCATTTTTCATGATGTACTCTGCATGTAAGTTAAATAAGCAGTGTGACAATATACAGCCTTGACATACTTCTTTCCCGATTTGGAACCAGTTTATTGTTACATGTCCAGTTCTGCTTGTTGCTTCTTGACCTCCATACAAATTTCTCAAGAGGGAGGTCAGGAGGTGATGATATTCCCATCTCTTGAAGAATTTTCCACAGTTTGTTGTGATCCACACAGTGGAAGGCTTTGGCATAGTCAATAAAGCAGAAATAGATGTTTTTCTGGAACTCTCTTGCTTTTTCAAGATCCAACGGATGTTGGTAATTTGATCTCTGGTTCCTCTGTCTTTTCTAGATCCAGCTTGAACATCTGGAAGTTCATGATTCATGTACTGTTGAAGCCTGCCTTGGAGATTTTTGAACATTACTTTGCTAGTGTGTGAGATGAGTGCAAATTGTGTGGTAGTTTGAGCATTCTTTGGCATTGGCTTTCTTTGGGACTGGAATGAAAATGCCCTTTTCCAGTCCTGTGGCCACTGCTGAGTTTTCCAAATTTGCTGACATATTGAGTACAGCACTTTCACAGCATCATGTTTTAGGATTTGAAATAGCTCAACTGGAATTCCATCACCCCATTAGCTTTGTTCATAGTGATGCTTTCTAAGACCCACTGTACTTTGCACTCCAGGATGTCTGGCTCTAGGTGAGTGATCACCCCATCATGATTATCTGGATCGTGAAGATCTTTTTTGTGTAGTTCTGTGTATTCTTGCCACCTTTCTTAATATCTTCTGCTTCTGTCAGGTCCATACCATTTCTGTCCTTTATTGAGCCCATCTATGCATGAAATGTTCCCTTGGTATCTCTAATTTTCTTGAAGAGATCGCTAGTCTTTTCCATTCTATTGTTTTTCTCCATTTCTTTACATTGATCCCTGAGGAAGGCTTTCTTGTCTCTCCTTGCTGTTCTTTGGAACTCTGCGTTCAAATGGATGTATCTTTTTCCTTTTCTTCTTTGCCTTTTGCTTCTCTTCTTTTAACAGCTATTTGTAAGACTTCCTCAGACAACCATTTTGCCTTTTTAGATTTCTTTTTGCGTTTAATGGCTTAAACCATGGGCTTAAATTCTGTGCATGCTTGCTAAGTCACTTCAGTTGTGTCCAACTCTTTGTGACCCCATGGACTATAGCCTGCCAGGCTCCTATGACCATGGGATTCTCCAGGCAAGAATGCTGGAGTGGGTTGCCATGCCCTTCTTCAGGGTTCTTCCTGATCGAGAGATGGAGCCTGTGTCTCCTGCATTGACAGGCGTGTTCTTTACCACTAGCGCCACCTGGCTGTGTTGCCTTCAGTGAGTTACTTAACTTTGGACTTGTTTCCTTCTCCATAAAACTGTGGATAAAATCTTGTTGAAATGCTCTGAGGACTAAGTAACACACACACACATACACTTTATGGTAGAGAAAGGCGTGTATATGTGTGAGTGTATGAGTATCTTGACATTACAGTACCAATAAGTGACCATTATTAATAATGAAGAAATGGAAAAGAACTTGTAGTTTAGTTGCATAGGGAGTTAAAGTATCATGATGAAGTTTTAATGGTAATATAAAACTTTATTATTGAGTGACAAGTGAGTAATGTGGACAGTTGTTGCCTTAGGGTTCAGAACACAGCAAAATTTTGTATGCTGGAAAAGCTTAGGACCATCATCTCCTGAGTGCTTACCAAGATGTCCCAGACACTGTTTGGTCCTTTTACATGTTATTAGCACATTTAGTTCACACAATAACCCAGCTTTACTTGTTCAGTTATGGCTGGGTCCAGGGCACAAACAATATCATCAGGATTCTCCTTATTCTCTGTCTGTTGGCTCAGTTTTCCTCTGTGTTGGCTTCATCCTCAGGCAGGCTTTCCCTTCAAGGCAGTAGTATAAACTGTTGAGGCCTAGAATCACATGTGAGCAACTTAACAATCTCAGTAGAAAGAGAGAATCTGTCTACAATGTTTCTAGCAAGAGTCCTAGATTTGACTGTCATTGCGTCAGTTTGGGTATTATTCTGATTTCTGAGCAAGTCACTGTGGCCTGAGGCAGGGATAGGATGGAACGAAACACTCTTCTTGGCCAGGTGGGGTTGTGTGGATGTTCACCTGTGAATCTGAGATGGGAACAGGAGCCTTTCCCTACAGGGAACATGAGGGTGCTCTTCCCAGAGGGGTGAGAATGAATATGTGCTAGGCAAAAACAGCGGATGTCCACCACGTTGAGGGTTTTAGGACCACGTGCACACTGTAGAATGCTTCTGCTTGTTTTCTGTTTTAGCCTTAATATGTCAAATATTTTCACAGAATTATGATGAATTATGACAAGTTGAAATCACGTCTGGGTGAGATTCATGATAGCAAAATGCGTCTCGAACAGGATTTGAAGAAACAAGCTTTGGATAACCGAGAAATAGATAAAAAAATGAATAGTATCAAACCTGACCTGATCCAGCTGCGCAAGATCCGAGATCAGCACCTTGTGTGAGTATTCTGGGCCTGTGGGGAGGACACCCCGTCACCACCCAATCCTGCTGCACTAGAGACATTAGAGGTAGAAGAAGAGATTCGTAATTGAGACCTGGCCAGCGGGACTGTAAGAATTTAGGAGAGTGGTCCTGTTAGTTGTAGGGTGTTATAGTCTACTAAAGTCAAGTGTGTGGGACCAATCAGGAGGTAGGGCTGTAATCCATACAAATGAACACAGTGATGGAGCTTTAAAAAGTGCAGATTAATTAATGTTTGCCTAAAATACAAAACCTAGAATCTTTGGTTACCTAGAAAAACCGTAGAAATAGAAATTACCCCTGACAGGCAAGGAAACTAAAAGTGGGGACCTACAAATAAGTATACAGAATAGTCCATTAAAGAGTTTTTATTTTTAAGGAAAAAATTCTATATTTAAGTAATAGAAATGTGTTGAAGACACTTACGAAAAATGGCACACCTGAGGAGTGATAGAATATTATATGATTTAGCTAGATATAGGGATATTATCTAAATATAGATAGAAAGATATGTTATCAGAACAAGATATATGGATTAGATTTTTAGGCCAGATGACTGCTTCATAGAAGGAGATAATCAGTGAGAAAGGAAAATGTATTAGGTTTAGTTCTAGGTAATGAATAGACTGTTCCGTAATATGTTTATGGGTGACTTTCACGCATGTAACACAGTTCAAACTCCTTGGCAGGAGGAGGCAAAGTAAAGACCTCTGACTGGGTTTTCTATAGACTTCAGGGTTTCTTTGTGTGAGAAGGAGGGAGGGGATAAAATACAAACTTAGAGGTTGGAACATTGGCTGTAGAGTTTCAGGAGAGGAAAATTTAAGGTGATTGTTTCAGAATCAAACAATTACTAAGTAGTTTTTAATAACACTCCTCTCTAGAGATCTTTCAGTTTGCTACTGTGGCCAAAAAGAGCAGAGAAAATACACAGAAGAGCTTTGAAAGCAAGGCCAGGAGGTGGCTTTGTATACAAGCAGGGTGTGTCTGCTCTTAGAATACTTATATGGTTCTGGTCACATGATGAAGCTAAAGAAAAGCCCCAGAAGGCTGTGCCATAGACCAAAGGAATGAATGGAAGCATTTCTTTGCCCTGGAAAGTGATGAGATACTGAGAAACCTACCATTTCTAGGTGCATGACTAAGTATGGCAAACTGACCTTGAAAATTCCTTTAACAAGTTCTGTAAGCTAAATATAAAACAAAATTTAGGTACCATCATGGGTGATAAGCCATGACCTACTTGTACCCTGCTAGAATGTTTAGGGAGACACAGCAACCATTACCTCTTTTGGAACCATTGCTTCAGGGAGAACAGTCCAGTGTCCATACTCCATACTCCATGCTTCGATGTTTCTACCAAAGACAACACTAAGATTGATGGGCCTGATCTGCTCTAACGCTGAAACTGTATAGTCAGTCCTGGAAGAGACTGGTTGTACTGATACATGATACTGAATACAACCTCTCTTTGGCCCTGTTTTGAAGTTGAAATAGGTTGGAATTCTGTAGCACCCAAGAAGAGATTGTCATTAGTTCATCAAGTCCCCTTTGCGTGTGGCCGTTTCTCTGACTTCTTGCTATATATATAACCTATAAGGACTTTTTGAGATTTTTTTCTCCTGAGATGCCAATGTACTGTTTCTAGAATATTCTTGAATGCCTAAATCAGGATTTCATTTCTTAAATATAGAATAAGTCAGTTCAGTTCAGTCACTCAGTCGTGTCTGACTCTTTGTGACCCCATGAACTGCAGCACACCAGGCCTCCCTGTCCATCACTAACTCCCGGAGCCTACACAAACTCATGTCCATTGAGTCAGTGATGCCATCCAACCATCTCATCCTCTGTCATCCCCTTCTCCTCCTGCCTTCAATCTTTCCCAGCATCAGGGTCTTTTCAAATGAGTTAGCTCTTTGCATCAGGTGGCCAAAGTATTGGATTTTCTGCTTCAGCATCAGTCCTTCCAGTGAACACCCAGGACTGGTTTCCTTTAGGATGGACTGGTTGGATCTCCTTGCAGTCCAAGGGACTCTCAAGAGTCTTCTGCAACACCACAGTTCAAAAGCATCAATTCTTCTGTGCTCAGCTTTCTTTATAGTCCAACTCTCACATCCATCCATGACTACTGGAAAAACCACAGCCTTGACTAGACGGACCTTTGTTGGCAAAGTAATGTCTCTGCTTTTTAGTATGCAGTCTAGGTTGGTCATAACTTTTCTTCCAAGGAGTAAGCATCTTCTAATTTCATGGCCTCAGTCACCATCTGCAGTGATTTTTGGAGCCCCCAAAAATAAAGTCTGTCACTGTTTCCACTGCTTCCCCATCTATTTCCCATGAAGTGATGGGACCGGATGCCATGATCTTAGTTTTCTGAATGTTGAGCTTTAAGCCAACTTTTTCACTCTCCTCTGTCACTTTCATCAAGAGGCTTTTTAGTTCTTCTTCACTTTCTGCCATAAGGGTGGTGTCACCTGCATATCTGAGGTTATTGATATTTCTCCCTGCAATCTTGATTCTAGCTTGTGCTTCTTCCAGCCCAACATATCTCATGATGTACTCTGCATATAAGTTAAATAAACAGGGTGACAATGTACAGCCTTGATGTACTCCTTTTCCTATTTGGAACCAGTCTGTTGTTCCATGTTCAGTTCTAACTGTTGCTTCCTGACTTGCATACAGATTTCTCAAGATGCAGGTCAGGTGGTCTGGTATTCCCATCTCTTTCTTAATTTTCCACAGTTTATTGTGATCTACACAGTCAGAGGCTTTGGCATAATCAATAAAGCAGAAGTAGATGTTTTTCTGGAACTCTTGCTTTTTCAATGATCCAATGGATGTTGGCAGTTTGATCTCTGGTTCCTTTGCCTTTTCTAAATCCAGCTTGAACATCTGGAGTTTCATGTATTGCTGAAGCCTGGCTTGGAGAATTTTGAGCATTACTTTACTAGCATGTGAGATGAGTGCAATTGTGCAGTTGTTTGAGCATTCTATGGCATTTCCTTTCTTTGGGATTGGAATGAAAATTGACCTTTTCCAGTCCTGTGGCCACTGCTGAGTTTTCCAAATTTGCTGACATATTGAGTGCAGCACTTTCACAGCATCATCTTTTAGGATTTGAAATAGCTCAACTGGAATTCCATCACCTCCACTAGCTTTGTTCATAGTGATGCTTCCTAAGGCCCACTTGACTTGACATTCCAGGATGTCTGGTGAGTGATCACACCATCATGATTATCTGGGTCGTGAAGATCTTTTTTGTAAAGTCCTTCTGTGTATTCTTGTCACCTTTCTTAATATCTTCTGCTTCTGTCAGGTCCATTCCATTTCTGTCCTTTTTTTGAGCCCATCTATGCATCAAATGTTCCCTTGGTATCTCTAATTTTCTTGAAGAGATCTCTAGTCTTTCCCATTCTATTGTTTTCCTCTATTTCTTTGCATTGCTGAGGAAGGCTTTCTTATCTCTCCTTGCTATTCTTTAGAATAAAATATTTCTTAAATATAAAAGCCTTTATTTTAATTTTATTCTTGGCTGTGCCATCCATGGCTTTCAGGATCTTGGTTCCCCAACCAGGGATTGAAGCCAGGCCCACGGCAGTGAAAGCACCAAGTCCTAACCAGTGAACCACCAGGGAATTTCCTAAAAACCTTTAAAACTCCTTTTTTATAAAAGGAATTTGCAATTCTTTTCCATTAGGAGTTAGTTTTCATGATTATTGCTTACTTTTCCTGGTTTTCGTAAACCTAAATTCATAAATTCAAGATAAAGAATAACTTGACGTAATACAACTTAGTCTAACTTGACTGATAAACTATGACTTACTGCCATCCTAGAGTAGGCTTTGTGTAGTCTGTGTCAGTCCATCCACAGCAATGCCCTAAGTAACATTGTTATAAAAAATTAGATGGTCATTAGCAGCTGATCACATTTTTAAAAGCTGGGAGAAACAGCTGATCAGATAGATAAGATATTAGAGACTAGAAAGATTTCAGGAGACTGAAACTATGATCCAGATTGAATATAATAAAACTTAATTTGAATAAATATCATCTTACACATAGCTCCAAAAGTCAACTTCCCAAATATGAAATTAGAGAGGCGAGATGGGGCAGCAGTGTGTATAAGGAATTCTGAAGGATATTACCATGCAAGTAATTGTTCAGTAAAGATACAGATTGTGACTACAAAAGTTAGTTTAATCTTACCTTAAAATGTATCCTAAATAAGTCATTCTCTTATGCCGTGCAAACAGTCCTTGAGTACAGGAAGCCATCTCTTTATCAGAGGATCATAGGTCCTGGAAAAAAAAAGTCCATTTAAAGCTAATCCATTTCATTGGGTGTGCTGGAATTTTCCACTTGCCTTCACAAATGGCTTCCATCTGCCTTCTTTTTCTACCCTGCTCTGTGCCTAAGAAAATGGATCTCTTTGCCCTCTGGCTTCTCATTAGCTTTGGCCATTTGAAGGCACTGGCAGGAGATGAGAGGGCAGAAGGAAAGTAAAGTAAGAATATTTTATTTTCTAACTTCTCCCCCTTGTGATCTCTATGAGTTGGCTGTGTCCTCATTTTCTACCAAAGGTGGCACTCCCCAAATGGTGCTCTTTGGGTTCAAGTCACTGCTCTCTACAGCTGATTCTTCAATTCTAGGATACCTTGGCTTCACACTATTGCTCGCCCCAGGGAGTTTCTCTAAAACATCTCCAAGCCTTTGTAAATAGTGAACTCTCCTCAGCTACCAGTTTGACTGTTCCTTTTCCATCTAGCTAAGACCCTAACTGATACAAACTAAGTGAGATGTCATAGTACATAGTAAACAAAATTAGAGTTTGATTAGAGATTTTAAGTTGAAAATGAAACTGAAAAGAGAATAAGTTCATCTTATGTGCACTGAATTTATGTTATAACTTCAACTTTATATCTTTTTTAGAATAAACAAACAAAAAAAGACCACACAATTAGTAACAGAATGCTAATTGGATGTTAGGTCTTCGATGCTTTGTTCAGGTTTTGTCTCTTAGAATGTATTGTTTTATACGTGACAAGGAAAATAAGGAAAAGTGTAAAGAGTGACTGGTGGACTGCCTTAGTTGGGACAATTAGGGTAGTCCTCCCCAGGGAGATGTTTATGATGAGATCTGAATGAATAGGGGCTTGGTTGGGGGATGATGATGAATGAAAGAGTTTTTATACTCAAGTTTTAGGCCATCATCCATCTCAGTGATTCTAAATGAAATGGTTTATATCATTATACATCTTAAATGTTGGTATATTTTAAAATACTGTGATTTTCCTGGTGATGAAGTAAATTTGCATTAATTACTCAGATTGCTACCCTCAATTTCTTGTGGCTTGCTTTGGGTGTAAAAATAGACCTTGAAATTCTGTTTTAGAATTTTAAACTCAATGTATTAATAGTAGGCTATGGAGGAATTGCATCCTGTGGCTCAGTGGAGACTGCAAATGTGACACATGCTTACCTAACTAACGATTTCAGAAACAACTGTCCCATGGTGTTTGAGTGGAAGGATGTGTGCGCTTGTGGTGATATAATCTTCTAGAAAAGGAAAGTGAAAAACAGAAAGGAAAGCTTTCTGTTTCTGCCTTTTGCTGAAAGTTGGAGGAAAGGTAATATAGAAACTATTAAATTTAGGGGAATCTCTGGCCATTCTTGGTGGGACTGGGGAAGACAAGCTCCTGGGCCTGGATGTTTGGCTAGCTTGGACGTGTCTACTTTGCACCGATGCTGACACTGGTGTCTTTCTTCTGGTAGGTGGCTCAATCACAAAGGAGTGAGACAGAAGCGCCTAAATGCCTGGCTGGGAATCAAGAATGAGGATGCTGATGAGTAAGTTCTCACTGTACCTTTCCGTCAGAGGGCTTTGTTGCCAGTGTAAGACATGGGCCTTCTTAATGCTTGCTGAGTTACTTGAGCAAATGTCCTCTCTGTCATTTGAGGACATTTGAATCAAGGACTTTGCACCTCTTTAAATTGAAATGCTTCAAGAGTATGTCACAGACCTGCCAAACCATATGAAACCTGGATACTTAAGCATTGCTTATTTAGACAGTCAGGAGTCAGAGTCTTGGATGAGACACCTGAATCTTGTGCTTTCTGCATGATAGCAAATAATGAAATTTTTTTTAATCTTATTTTTTGAAATTATTTTTAAAAAATCCAACTACTTGCAATTCTACTTTGTTATTTTGTGGTTAAGATTTAGAAGAGAGTTTTATTCGTGAACTTGCTTTTAGATGTAAGTAAACTGATTGTTAGAATAATATTTTAACATTTGATTTTTAGGACCTATTTTATCAATGAGGAAGATGAAAACCTGCCCCATTATGATGAGAAAACCTGGTTTGTTGAGGATATCAACCGAGTACAAGCTGAGGACTTGCTTTATGGGAAACCTGACGGTGCATTCTTAATCCGTGAGAGTAGCAAGAAAGGATGTTATGCTTGCTCTGTGGTGTAAGTCTTCTCTGGGGATATAACCTTTTGAAAACTTCTACATTGATTAATAGAAAATCAACCACTCATAAAGTTCAGATCAAATTATTTGAAATATGGTAAAACAAGTAACCATGGCTTAGACCTTTAATATTTGTACAAAGAAAAGTTAGTTGCTTTAGGAGATATATAATCTGAAGTTATTTTGGGGATTTTAATTTAAATGGTAAGCAGGCTAGGCCCTGCAGTTGTTTGTTGTTGGATTTCAGGTATCTGTGAAAAATAATTGGAGATTTTTCAATTGGAAAGATCACTTAATTCTTTTTTTTTTCCCTCTCACTTAATTCTTTAGTAGTCTCCTGCATGCCTAACTTGGCTTTCATTGTCAGATTATGAAGACTTGATTAAATAGAACTGTTTTTACTTCAGAAGAAAAACTAAGTTTTGTACTTATATAGTATTTGTGTTGAGTTAGTGATAGAAAATGTTGGATGTTTTCTTTTTTTTAATTTTTAAATTTTATTTATTTATTTTGGATGTTTTCTTACGACTGTTTGGAAAAGCTTATTTTTCTTTTAATGGAAAGTGAAATTCTAGGGACAACTAATTATGCCTCAGTCAGATTTTGCTGTTTTATATATATATATATAAAACAGTTGCCTTTTTAAGGAATATCTATATATATTTGCTATTAGTATGTTTTCATTGACAATGACCATACCTAGAGAGGAGGTATAGTGTGATGGTCATGAGAGAAGCTTTGGGATCAGATATACAGGATTCAAATCCTGACTCTACTACTTAACCATACGTGTGACCTAGGGTAAATTACTTAACTTTTCTTTTCCTAGTTTCTTTATCTATGAAAGAAGCATAGTAATAATATCTACTTAAGGGTTTTTACAGTACTACATGAGTTAATATATGTGATATAATATGCTTTGATCAGTGCTGGAACATAATAAGTAAATATTGTTTACTAATATTATTATGATAATGATGTTGCTGCTGGACATGCCAGAAAGCAAGCAAGGATCACAAATGATTTGAGGACAAAGTGGTGAGGCTAGACAAAAGACACTTGTATTAATAACAGAGTGCTTTACATGATCATCTTATCCTTAGCGATCTATCTCTGTCATGCAGAGTTTGAATCCAGCTTTACCTGGTTTCAAAACCCACTTTTTTTTTTTTGGCACCACGCTCTCTTCATTTCACAGTAAATTATCCAAGATAAATGAAATCACCATGACATAGGTATCACCAGTAGGCTGTGTGCATGAAGAACTGAGTCTGGTAGAGAAAGGGTTGGGAGATTTTGTGTAAGAGGTGGTGTTGAACTGGACTTGGAAAGGATGAATAGTGGGGTGTCTGTGGGCAAAATGTAAGGGAGGTATTGGATTAGTGTTATCCCTGGATAGAGCTACTTGAAACATTTCATTTCTTTGTGACCTGGGCTCAGATCCTCAAGTTTTCTGAATGGAAATGGCAGGAGAAGATGGCTCTTGTGGGATCTGAGATCTTGTTAAGAACAATAAAAAGAAGACAGTAAGCCCAGTGCATTAGCCCCTCACCCTTATCCAGGTCCCTGTGTGGCAGCCTTGTGGGTTAAGGACTTGGCTGGTGGAAAGTGCTGCTCAGCTGCTCAGGTAGTTCCTGAGAGACCAGGGAGCGGCTTGAGCATCTTGGGGAGCTGTATTCTTTTCCTCTTCTCTTTAGCCATAGACTTGACTAGTAGTGTGGAATTCTGTTGCCTATGAAAACCAGCTTCAGTCATGTATCATATTGGGGTTCACCTTGGGGGACATTGGAAGCAAGAGTCTGGCATCACAGACTTCTACTTGTTTGCCAGCCACTATAGATGTAGAAAGCCTGCTTACAGTGATTTTTCAATTTACTTAGGACTAAGTTAAGGACTTGCTTAACTCTACAGCCTTATCAGGCTAGAGACCTGTAGCCAACAATGAATGTATTTATGTTAGGTAGTGAGCAGTTGTGATCCTTACATTGTTATTGCCATTTGGCATAAGAAATTTGATTAGGGATAGAACATATAGATCAACAAGGAAACAGAAGACTTGAACAACTGTATAAAACAACTAGACCTAGCTGGTGGTGCTAGTGGTAAAGAACCAGCCTGCTAATGCAGGAGATGTAAGAGATGTGGATTTGATCCCTGGGTCGGGAAGATCCCCTGGAGAAAGAAGTGGCAACCTGCTCCAGTATTCTTGCCTGGGAAATTCCATAGACAGAGGGGCCTGGTGGACTACAGTCCATGGGGTCACGAAGAGCTGGGCACGACTGAACTCACCCACACACACACAGAGACATCTTTAGCACACTCCACCTAACAACAGCAGAACACACATTCTTCTCAAGTGTACATGAAACATCATCCAGGCTAGACCGCACTTTAGGCCACAAGTCTCAATAAATAGGGTTGAGATCATACAAAATATGTTGTCTATAACCACAATGGAAAGAAATTAGAAATAAAAAATAAGGAAATTTGGGAAATTCACAGAATGGACAATAAGTAACATATTCCTAAATTACCAATAGATTAAAAAAAGAAAACAAGGGAAATTAGAAAATACTTTGGGTTAAAAGAGAAACACAGAATAGCGAAACTTACCTACTGTAGTTAAAGCATTGCTAAGAGGGAAATTTATAACTGAAGCTCTCAAATCAATAACCTACTTTCTTCCACCTTAAGAAACTGAAAAAAGAAGAGCTAACTAAACCCAAACAAGCAGAAAAAAGGGAGTAATAAAGATTAGAACAGAAGTAAATAAAATGGAGAATAGAAAATAATTGAGGAAATCAATGAAGCTGAAAGATGGGATGATGGGATGAATAAAATTGATAACCTCTTTTCTAGTAGTCATGTACAGATGTGAGAGTTGGACTATAAAGAAGGCTGAGCACCAAAGAATTGATGCTTTTGAATTGTGGTGCCAGAAGAGACTCTCTGGAGTCCCTTGGATAGCAAGGAGATCAAACCAGTTAATCCTAAAGGAAATCAATCCTGAATATTCATTGGAGGGACTGATGCTAAAGCTGAAGCTCTAATACTTTGGCCACCTGATGCAAAGAGCTGACTCACTGGAAAAGACCCTGATGCTGGGCAAGATTGAAGGCAAAAGAAGAGGGTGGCAGAGGATGAGAAGAACCGACTCCGTAGACATGAGTTTGAGTAAACCAATTCAATGCACATGAATTTGAGCAAACTCCAGGAGATAGTGAAGGACAGAGGAACCTGACATGTTGCATTCCATAGGGTCTCAAAGAGTTGGACATGACTTAATCACTGAACAACAACAACAAAGCTAAACTCACACACACGCACACACCCGGGGAGAGAAGACACAAATTCCTAAAATCAGGGTGAAAGAGGGGACACTAGTTGTAGCCTTTACAGAGATTAAAAAAATAATGATGGAATACTATAAATAATTATATGCTAACAAATTAAACAACCTAGATGAAATAGACAAATGCCTGAAGCACACAAACTGCCAAAACTGACTTAACAGAAAGTAGAAAATCTGAATAGAACTATAATAAGTATAGAAATTGAATCACTAATTTAAAAAATTATCCACAAAGAAAACCCCAGGCCTAGTTAGTTTTATTGGTGAATTCTACCAAACATTATGAAAAGAATTAGGACAATTCCCTCATAGACTTTCCAAAAAATTGGAGCAAATTCTTCCCAGTTCGTTTAATGAGGGTATATTTCTTATGAATACAGACATAAAAATCTTTAACAGAACACTAGCAAAGCAACTCTAGCAGCATATAAGAAGGATTATAAACCATAACTAAGTAGAATTAAAAATCAGTGTAAATAAACCATATAAATAGATTAAGGACAAAAATCAACAGACAAAAATCTACTCATTATTTCAGTAGATTCAGAAGAAGTATTTTTACACTCTTAGTTGTTAAAACACTGAAAAAACTAGAGATAGGCGGGTACTTCCCAACCTGATAAAGAACATGAAAAACCCACAGCTGACATCATACTTAGTGGTAAAAAACTGAGTACTTTTCTTTAAGAGCAGGAAGAGACTAAGGATGTCTTTTCTCATCACTTCTAATCATTGTACAGAAAATTCTAGCTGGTGCGTTTAGGCAAGAAAAAGAAAAGGCATCCAGATTAGAAAGGAAGAAGTAAACTATTAGAACTAATAAATGCATTCAGCAGGGTGAAGGTTAAAAGATTAGAAAATGAAAATCAGTTGTATTCCTATATACTAGAAGTGAACAACCTGAAAATGTGTAATAGCATAAAAATTATAAAATGCCTAGGTTTAAAGTGCAAGAGCTGTACAGTGAAAACTATGAAACATCACTAAAAGAACTTAAAATCTAAATAAGTGGGAAAACATCCTGTGTTCATAGATGGCAGTACTTTCCACATTGATTTGTGTGTTTGGTGTAATCCCCATAAACAGTACCAGCTGGCTTTGTACAGAAATGACAAGCTGATCTTAAAATTGATATGATAATACAAGGGATCCAGAACAGTTAAAATAATCCTGAAGGAATAGGAAAGAGTTGAAGTATATTTCCCAATTTGAAAACTTACTACAAAGTTGCAGTAATTAAAATTGTGAAGTACTAACATAAAAGTTATGACCAACCTAGACAGCATGTTAAATAGCAGAGACATTACTTTGCCAACAAAGGTCCATCTAGTCAAGACTGTAGTTTTTCCAGTAGTCATGGATGGATGTGAGAGTTGGACTATATAGAAAGCTGAGCACTGAAGAATTGATGCTTTTGAACTGTGGTGTTGGAGAAGACTCTTGAGAGTCCCTTGGACTGCAAGGAGATCCAACCAGTCCATCCTAAAGGAAATCAGTGCTGAATGTTCATTGGAAGGACTGATATTGAAGCTGAAACTCAATACTTTGGCTACCTGATGCAAAGAACTGACTCATTTGAAAAGACCCTGATGCTGGGAAAGATTGAAGGCAGGAGGAGAAGGGGACGACAGAGGTTGAGATGGTTGGATGGCATCACCGACTCAATGGATATGAGTTTGAGTAAACTCCGGGAGTTGGTGATGGACAGGGAGGCCTGGCGTGCTGCAATCCATGGGGTCACAAAGAATCAGACATGACTGAGTGACTGAACTGAACTCTGAGGGCTTCCCTGGTAGCTCTGCTGGTAAAGAATCCTGCAATGCAGGAGACCCAGGTTTGATCCTTGAGTCGGGAAGATTCCCTGGAGAAGAAAGTGGCAACCCATTCCAGTACTATTGCCTGGAGAATTTCATGGACAGAGGAGCCTTGGTGGGCTACAGTCCATGGGGTTGCAAAGAGTTGGACACGACTGAGTAACTAAGCACAACAGAAGACTAAACATGAATCAATGAATAAAAATGACAGCTATGAGATAACCCCCTACAGTTATGGCCAGTTGGTTTTCAACAAGGTTCTCAAGACCATTCAAAGGGGAAAAAATAATCATTTCAACACAGTGCTGGGACAGCTAGTGAGCCACATGCAAAAGAATGAATTTGGACCCCCACTTCATGCCACATACAAAATTGAACTCAAAATGTGTCATATAACTAAATGTAAGGGCTAAAAGATAAAACACTTAGTAGAAAACGTAGGCATAAATCTTTGTTACTTTGGAATGGCCAGTGGTCTCTTACCTATCAAAAGCACGAATGACAAAAAGATGAATTGGACTTCCCCACAATTAAAGACTGTCTGTATCAAAGGACACTATCGGGAAAGTGGAAAGACAACCCACAGAATGGGAGAAAATATTTGCAAATCACACATCTAATCAACTAGTGTTTAATACATAAAGAACTCTTAATAAAAAGACAACTGCCCCAATTTAAAAATGGGCAACGGCAAATAGACATTTCTTTAAAGAAGATATAAAGATGGTCAATAAACATATGAAAAGATGCTCAACATTATTAGTCATTAGGGACCTGTGAATCAAAACTACAATGAGATACTAAAAAGATGGACAATAACAAGTCTTGACAGGGATGTGGAGAAAGCTGCTGGCAGAAATTTAAAGTGGTGCAACACTTCAGAAAACAGTGTGGCAGTTCCTCAAAAGGTTTAACTTTCTTTGGCAGGCAGGGTGGGGGCGCATGCCATGTGGCTTGTGGGATCTTAGTTCTCCCACGAGGGATTGAACCTGGGGCCATAGCAGTGAAAGCACAGTCCTTGCCACTTCACTGCCGGGGAATTCCCAAAAAGTTTGTTTCACTTATGATTCAACAGTTCCCCTCTTACTTTACATCTAAGAGGACTGAAAACATGCGTCCATACAAAAACTTGTACATAAATATTCATTATAGCCAAAAAATGTTAACAATCCAAGTAACCCATAAATTGATGAATGGATAACCAAAATGTAGTGTATCTATACAATAGAATATTACTCAACCCTGAGGGGAAATGAAGTCTCAATACATGATACCACATAAAAGAACTTTGAAAATGGTGCTCCAAGTAAAAATAGCCAGACAAAAGATTGAGTAATACTGTATGATTCCATTTATATAAAATGTCCGGAATAGGCAAAGCCATAGTGACAGGAAGTAGATTATTGGTCACCAGAGTCTAAGGGGAGGGAGGAATACAGTGAATGTTGATGGTTACATGGTTTCTTTTTAGGGTGATGAAAATATTCTGGAATTAGTTATTGTTGCACAATCTTGTGCCTATTTTACAAACCACTGATCCGTACATTAAACTTTTTTTTTTTTTTTTGGTTTGGTTTGGTTTGCCCCTTCCAGTGCATTCTTACCTAATTAAGGTCCAGAGCTAAGTGACTGCATGCAGCCACCCATTTGAGCCCCACCAAGTCTTGGGAAGTGAAGGGTGTCTCTGTGACCAGTGTGGAAGGGGCTGGGGGGGACACAAGGGTGTGATGTCATACCAGCTCAGATGGACGAAAGGCTGCTGCTGCTTTGCAGAACAGTTGCTCTCAGACTTCTGGTCTTTAGGGCCCCTGTATGTTGCCATCGGCCGTAACGCCCTGCGGTGTCTGTGTTGTGTCGTTGCAGCGCCGATGGAGAGGTGAAGCACTGTGTGATCTACAGCACTGCTCGGGGCTACGGCTTCGCAGAGCCCTACAACCTGTACAGCTCCCTGAAGGAGCTGGTGCTGCACTACCAGCAGACGTCCCTGGTGCAGCACAACGACTCTCTCAACGTCAGGCTCGCCTACCCTGTCCACGCACAGATGCCCTCGCTCTGCAGATAAAGAGGGAGCAGTGGCTCTCTAGCAACACTTTTCTACAGTTTTTATTAGACTATGAGGGCATTCTTTCTACGTAGACTGCTTGTTTTGCACAAGAAGTGATTCTGTGAATGTGAAGTGGAGAGGCCGAGCAGCAGCCGGCCAGGATGGGGACGTACGGGGCCTGGGGTTCTCGGGGACTCAGCCGTGCCACTGCACTGACATAGGAAGCTGGGAGCAGAGGCTGGTTTTTGGGAAAGTCTCATTGGGGTTTTTGTTTTACTTAGCCAGGCACCCTCAAGAGAACATGTTAGGCCTGATTGGGGTGGGGGTTGTATCTGGAAGCCTCTGAGGAGTCCCTGTCCTCTTCTGAGAGGCCAAGGTGCTTTAAGACTGTGGTGGGGCTTGGCCCTGTTGGGAGTCTGTTTTGGTCTGGCGGTCTTTTTTCCTCCCAAAAAGAAGGTGGTTTTGGTTCAGTGGTAGAATGGCATTTGGTGAAAAAGACAACCAAAGGAAAATGGGGAGGCTTGGGATTTCATTTAAAGAATTGTAATCTGTGGGTAAAAAAACTTTCACCGAAGGTACCTAACCAGTATAGTTTAGGTGTCAGCATCTCAGTAGCTCCTCTCTCTAAAGAAGCATTATGTTTCGAAACCACATTGGTCCCAGCAAAACAATGCTTGCTGCCAGACTAGGGTGCAATGGAAGATGGTGGCACTAGTATCTGAATGCACACTTCTGAACCAAAACTTGAAAATAAAAGGAAAACTAGAGACTGTTAGTTTTAGCAGACACTAAAATTGGTCAGTGTAATTCCTTTTGCCCTGCCCTTGTTTCTCAGAGATGAGGAATAGTGTTCTTTTTGTGGGCTGGTGAGCTTTGAATTATAAAATGAAGTTGGTGCTTGTGTGGTGGTGTTTTCTTAGCCTAAAGAATGATCTGTTGTTTGAAACCTTTGTAACTTGTGTGTATGAGTAAAGAAAAGGTGCAATCCAGTGCTTTTAGATGGCTTGATATACCAAATAATGATCTAGAACAACATTCTTCTATGTGCTTCCACAAGTTGAAAGGTCCTGCAGAAACAGTCAATGTGTTTAATTTCCTGTCATCTCCTGTCCTTTTCTGGGTAGGGCCAGGGGAGCCATAGATGGCTAAGGCTGTGGCTGGAAGGGAGCCAGGTGTGGTCAGGGACTTTAGGAGGTCACAGGCCCGGGGCTTTGGTGTCCCAGGCAAGGGCTGTATGTCACCCTTGTGCTTCCAGATAGTGGTTGCTGAAACTTCTGCAAGGAGAGGAAAGGATGGCTTGGCATTCAGACTGTTAGCTGAAGTCATCTGGAAGCTGTTCTTTGCCTTTTTTGTGATCCTGCCATTAAGATGATGTGCACAGACTGTCCTCATGCTCCAGTGGCCCTGATTTTAGGCCAGGAACCTTCTGCTTCCTGTGGTTTAAGCCTTCCAGCTGAGTGAAGCTGGGCAAATGGAGTTGGGGCAGCATCTACTCCTACCTCCATCGTGTTCCACCCCTATCAGTCAACACTCATTTGACAAACAAGAGTCTAGCTGCCTCTGAGCCAATCCGAGAGCTGTAATCGGCTCGAATGAGTCAGCTGTTTGAGCCCAAAGCTGTGCAGTCAGGCTTCCTGGCTGAGTAGGGAAGCCAATATCTGAGTCTTATTGAATCAGGTTTATACCTAGGGAAGCTCTAGTTTGGGGGATGAAAGAAAGAAATTTTGCTTTCCCTGAGCATTTATCTTGGTGACAGGATCTAGAATGTGCCACGACATAGAAATAGATTAAAATTTGGGGGAGAACCTCCAGTTACTAACAATGAAGACAGAAAGGAAAGGGGGCATATCTTTGGCTTTTCCTTGGTTACGTTGCAATTTCAGGATTGGATGAGGCAGACAAATGAAACCTCCTCCAGTGTCGCTGTTCTAACCTGAGCCCTTAACTGATACCAGCCAGCTGGACATTCCTTCCCCAGATGGCCAGATTGAAATCTTGCTAAGAGTTTTACTGAAAAATAAGGCCAGACCAACTACTGCGAGGCATGCCTGCCTGATGGCTTTGTGCCTTAAACAGCTAGATGCTCAAGATGGGGTGCCAGGAATCCCTTCTTTCTGGTATTAAAATTTAGTGTGTTCTGGTTATCTCTTAAATGAAAACCAGGATGCATGCTATAATGTTGAACCATGCTGTGTTGCTTGCTTGTCAGGCAGCATCAATTAAGGGCATGTAGGTAGCGAGCAAGCGAGGTCTATCGCCCACACTTGGGCTGGCTTGCGGAGGAGGGCCACTCGTTTTTAAGTCCTACATTCCTTCACCTGTTTGTTGCTTTCCTGTTTTTCATTCTTGAATTTGTTGCTTCGTGGGAACTAAGACATAGGGATCATTTGAGAAGTTGGAAAGTATCTTTTCTGACTAGTTGCCACATGATTTGCTTGATCTTGACCAGTGGAAATAGCAGAGGGACCAGTCTACTAACCACTGGGAGGGGTAGTATGCAGCTCCTTTGTTCTGTGGTCCTGGCCTCCTTCATCAGAGCTTAGCTCCATGTCTTACCCCATGATCTGGGCCCTGGGGTTCTCTCTTGGCATCTTCAGTGCGGTCTCACTGAGGCAGAGGGTAAAGAAACAGACCAAGACCAGAGGAACTCACTTGTCTTCCTGGCTAGGGAAGCTGGCCAGCAACGTGGAAGCAGCTCCAGGCTGGCTGGACACTGGTCAGGGGCCTGTCTATTCTGGGTGGAGCTTTCATCACAGAACAATGCTTTGTCTCCATCTGGCCACAGATGCTAACCAAGCCTCGACCATAGCTCAGGCTTTTATAGACTAGCAGTGTCCTTACCCCTAATTTGGCCAAGATTGAGGACTTCTGATACCACCCCTACTCTGTCTCCAAGCTTCGATGAGACCCTCTCAGGCTTTGCAGAAGCTCTGAGAACCAGTGTGGTGTCTTCCATGGGTCTCCTTGCAGCAAGAAATGAGTCTCATGGGTCCTCTTGGGCCAAGAACTGCATCTGGGCAAATTACTGTTTTTTCAAGGTATTTTCTGTTGCCAGTTAAGACTCTATTAGCTAGCTCTCTGTGAGGCTTCAGTGGCCTCAAAGCAGAGGGTCCAGATGGGGGCCTAGCTGGGCCCTCTGCTGTCAACTGCTCAGCCTTGCTCTAGCTCCAGCCACTTGTGACGAAAAACAACCTTGTTTCCTTACAAATTGCAGCATGTGACTTTGGTGCCCTGTTGTTACTCGTGGAAAACCTATTCTTCTGTTGTCTTTGATGTAGTCAAAAAAATTCATGTAGTTACGTAAAAATATCTGATTCACAAGGAAGCCAACTATATGTCTTGTGCTGGGACAGTTCATAATGTAGTTCCTAGACCACTTTTGCAAGTTGTTCTTGTCACCAGGTGTGTTCAGACATTGCTGTGCAGTTGTGGGGGAGGGTGGGGGAGGCGAGGGGAGATACTTTTTGGTCTTTTTGTTTTTTACCTTCCCCAAGAGGGGACAGTCTGGCCAACTTGCTCCAGTAATGCAATAAAGACATTGCAATAAAGCACCTTTGGTTCTCATGCTGTGGAGAAGTGGGCTGGGGGTGGGGGCAAAAGGGAGAGGACTGGGGTATGAAAAGTCCTGAAGCTGCCAAACCTTCTCTCCCATGAGCACCAGATCGGTCCTGGGGCTGAACTGGGGCTACAAAAATGCTTCCACCAACACTGGGGGACTCAGAAACTAACCCTGAGAAAGTTTAACATTGGAGCTGTTTCATCACCACCCCATTCCTATTAGAAAGCCCACTGAGTTGATTCTCATCACATCTCTTTGCCCAGAAATATGTTTGCACATTCTGCTGTGGGGGTAGAGGGTGTGGGCTGACTTACAGTGTGTCCTCTTGTGCCCCAGGCCCTGTCACCCTCCTACCACAACACTTTGTTGAGGTCCCTACGTGTTGGGAACATAACCAGCAAACATGACCACCACCCTGGGCAACAGGCGCCACCCACACGTACTGAACTGCAGATCAGACTGAAAGGTGATAATCTGTTCTGAATGACCTTGTCTATATTCTTCCTCCCTGCCATACTTAGCTATAGAGCACCCTCAAGGCCAGTGCTAGAAACCATGGATAATTTCCCCTAATTCCAAGAGCTCTTCCCCACTGTCAGCATGGGATACTCAGACTCCTATCTCCAGCCCAGTCGTCTCTCCTGAACTCCACCTGCTGGCTGGATAGTGCCACTGGCCCCTTGGATGTCTCACAGGAGTTTGTTCACAGAAGAAACATATGCTTGGCTATGAATTCCCTTACTTTTCTACCACCACACCTGGTCTACAGCCACATAACTCCTCTCCCTCTCACCTGTTAAATTACAAAGGGTAGCCCTCCTCTTCCTACTAAAAGCCAGTCTCTCCAGCTGTATTTTGCATCCTCTTTTCTCCTGTCTTCTCAGGAATCTCCCATGAGTTTATCTATTGTTTCGTCTCAGCTGGTTGGGTATCTCTCACTCTACTTGCTCAATCACTACTCAATCCTTTCTCTCTTCAGGGGAAACCTTTTTAAAAACATTTAAGTTTGTCTTTATTTCCTCACCTCCTCAAGGTTTTCAGTCCAGGTCCCACCACTATCTGAAACTGCTCTCCTTGATGTCCTTGGTAACCAGCATTTGTGATGACCATTCTCCATGAAAAACTGCCACTGACTCCATGATCATTTATCTGGTTTTCCTCCTGCATCTCTAACTGCTCCTTTTTAAAATAAAATTTTTGACTACACCACACAGCATATGACATCTTTGTTCCCCAACCAGGGATTGAACCCGCGCCCCCTGCATTGGAAATGTGGAGTCTGAGTCACTGGACCACCAAGGAAGTTCACTGTACTCCTCTGGCCACCTTCTCACTTACGCTTTTTTCTTGGCAGTTTTATCCATATCCATGAAGTCACCTACCATCTCACGGCCAATTACATCCTTCTTCGTTTCTCCTGTCTAGACTATGTTGCGGATACTCAGAATACTGAATGCAG